CTCCGCCTCCTCCTCCATTGCCGCCTCCGCCTCCTCTTCCTCCTTGTCCTTGTCCCCCTCCTTGTCTTCTTCGTCTTTTCTTCCTCGTCCTCCTCATCCTCCCCCTCGACCTCGTCCTCCCGCCTTTTCCTCATCACCTTCCCCCTCCATCACCACTCATCCCCCCCCCCCCCCCCACCCCTCGACTTCTCCTCCATCTTTTCTTCCTCTTCTTCTCCGCCCGTCTTTCCTCTCCTCCTTTCTTTTGTTTTGTTTACCTTTCTTCTCCTCCTCCATTGCCGCCTCCGCCTCCTCTTCCTCCTTGTCCTTGTCCCCCTCCTTGTCTTCTTCGTCTTTTCTTCCTCGTCCTCCTGATCCGCCCCCTCGACCTCGTCCTCCCGCCTTTTCCTCCTCATCTTCCCTCTCCATCACCACTCATCGCCCCCCCCTTCCTTTTTCCTCCTCTTCCTCCCCCTGTTCTTCTTCTCTTTTTTTCTCTCCAACTCCTGGACTCCCCCCCCTAGACTTCTCTTGCATCTTTTTTTCCTCATCTTCTCCGCCCGTCTTTCCTCCTCCCTTTTCTTTTGTTTTGTTTATCTTTTTTCTCCTCCTCCATTGCCGCCTCCGCCTCCTCTTCCTCCTTGTCCTTGTCTCCCTCCTTGTCTTCTTCATCTTTTCTTCCTCGTCCTCCTCGTCCTCCCCCTTGACCTCGTCCTCCCACCTTTTTTCCTCATCGTCTTCCCCCTCCATCACCACTCATCCCCCTTCCCCTCCCCTGCTGTCCTCTTCATCGTACACTGCCGCCTGCTATCAATCAATCAATAAATCCATTAACAAACCAACCAAACTATCAAATAAACGGTTGATTGATTGGATTGGATTGGATTGGACTGGACTGAACTGGACTGGATTGGACTGGATTGGACTGGATTGGATTGGATTGGATTGGATTGGATTGGATTGGATTGGATTAGATTGAATTGCATTGCATTGAATTGACTTGACTTGAATTGCACTGCATTGCATTGCTTGATTGGGTGCTTGCTTGCTTGCTTGCTTGATTGATTGAGCGAGTGAGCGAGTGAGCGAGCTAGTGAGTGAATGAGTGAGCGAGCGAGCGAGCGAGGGAGCGAGGGACTGAGTGAGTGGGTGGGTGGGTGGGTGGGTGGGTGAGTGGGTGAGTGCGTGAGTGTGTGGGTGAGTGCGTGAGTGTGTGGGTGAGTGCGTGCTTGCGTGAGTGAGTGAGTGAGTGAGTGAGTGAGTGGGTGGGTGAGTGGGTGAGTGGGTGAGGGAGTGAGGGAGTGAGGGAGTGAGGGAGTGAGGGAGTGAGGGAGTGACTGAGCGAGTGAGTGAGTGAGGGAGTGAGAGAGTGAGTAAGGGAGTGAGGGAGTGAGTGACTGGGTGAGCGAGTGGGTGAGCCAGTGAGCGAGTGGGTGAGCGAGTGAGTGGGTGAGTGGGTGAGCGAGTGAGTGAGTGGGTGAGTGAGTGAGCGAGTGAGAGAGTGGGTGAGTGAGTGAGTGAGTGAGCGGGTGAGTGAGTGAGCGGGTGGGTGAGTGAGTGAGCGAGTGGGTGAGTGAGTGAGTGGGTGAGTGAGTGGGTGAGTGAGTGGGTGAGTGAGTGGGTGAGTGGGTGAGTGAGTGGGTGAGTGAGTGAGTGGGTGAGTGAGTGAGTGAGCGAGGGAGTGAGGGAGGGAGCGAGGGAGGGAGCGAGGGAGGGAGCAAGGGAGGGAGCGAGGGAGGGAGCGAGCGAGGGAGCGAGCGATTGAGTGATTGAGTGAGTGAGCGAGTGAGTGAGCGAGTGAGTGAGTCGATCAATCGAGTTTGTTATCCTCATTCATTCATTCCAACTTTTATCTCCCAAGCCGCCCTCAGAGGTGCGCGCCTCCTTTTGCTCAGTTTGACCAAGTGCTCTTCCACGCGCATTTCAGCAACGCTTCAGTCCCTCCCTCCCTCCCTCCCTCTGTCCGTCACTCACTCACTCCCAGTCAGTCAGTCATTCTGTCAGTCGATCACTCACTCAGTCGGTAGGTTAGTCAGCCAGTCAGTCAGTCAGTCAGTCAGTGATTGACTGATTAAGCGAGTGAGCGAGCGAGTGAGTGAGTCACTCACTCACTCACTCACTCACTCACTCAGAGAGTCAGTTACTCCCTCAGTCACTCATGAGTGAGTGAGTGAGTGAGTGAGTGAGTGAGTCAGTCAGTCAGTGATTGATCGAGTGAGTGAGTGAGTGAGTGAGTGAGCGAGCGAGCGAGTCACTCACTCACTCACTCACTCCCAGTTGATCGGTCGGTCAATCGGTTGGTCGGCCAGCCAGTCAATCGGGCAGTCAGTCAGTCAGCCAGTCAGTCAGTTAATCGGTTGTTCAGGACGTCAGTCTGTCAGTCTGTCAGTCTGTCAGTCTGTCAGCCGGCCAGTCAGCCACTCACGCACACAGTCAGCCAGTCACTCACTCAGTCAGCCAGTCACTCAATCACTCAGTCACTCAGTCACTCACTCACTCACTCTCAGTCATTCAGTCAGTCAGTCGCTCCCTCGCTCAGTCACACACTCTCAGTCAGTCAGTCAGTCAGTCACTCCCTCACTCAGTCAGTCACTCAGTCAGTCACTCACTCACCGTCAGTTAGTCAGTCAGTCACTCACTCACTCACTCACTCACTCACTCACTCACTCACTCTCAGTCAATCACTCACTCAGTCACTCACTCCCTCACTCACTCGCTCACTCACTCTCAATCAGCCAGTCAATCAGCCACTTACTCAGTCACTCACTCAGACACTCAGTCAGTCAGTCAGTCACTCCCTCACCCACTCTCAGTCAGTCACCCACTCACTCCCTCACTCAGTCACTCCCTCACTCCTTCACTCACTAACTCACTCACTAACTCACTCACTAACTCACTCACTAACTCACTCACTAACTCGCTCACTCACTCTCAGTCAGTCAGTCAATCAGTCACTCACTCCCTCACTCACAAACTCACTCACTAACTCGCTCACTCACTCTCAGTCAGTCAGTCAATCAGTCAGTCACTCACTCACTCAGACACTCGGTCAGTCAGTCAGTCAGTCACTCACTCACTCACTCACTCACTCCCTCACTCCCTCACTCCCTCACTCACTCCCTCACTCGCTCACTCGCTCACTCGCTCACTTGCTCACTCGCTCCCTCGTTCCCTCGTTCCCTCGTTCCCTCCCTCCCTCCCTCGCCCACTCACTCCCTCCTTCGGTCCCTCGCTCCCTCCGCCTTCCTCCCTCGCTGCCTCCCTCGCTGCCTCCCTCGCTCACTCGCTCCCTCGCTCTCTCGCTCCCTCACTTCGTAGCTCCCTCGCTCCCTGGCTTCGTAGCTCCCTCGCTCCCTCACTCAGTTCCTCCCTCGCTCCCTCCCTCCCTCCCTCCCTCACTCACTCACTCACTCATCACTCACTCCCTCCCTCTCTCCCTCTCTCCCTCT